CTGTAAATCACTTGCTGATTTTTGTGGAAGATTCTTTGTTTTCATCTACTTTTCAACAGTGGGTACATCTTTTCCTCAGTGATGTAAAAGAACTTGTAACAGAGTGAAGACACATCTCCTTTGAGATGGTATAAATATCTATCTGTTCCAGACCGTCTTTACCTTCTTGAAGATCAGAAATCTAATTTTCATGTACCCCTTAACTGTTTGAGGTTTGTTTTTTGTTGTTGTTGTTTTTGTCTGTTTGTTTCAGTTGGAGCATCACTCTTTTGCCCAGGCTGGAGTGCAGTAGCACAATCAGGGCTCATTGCAGCCTCAACATCCTGGACTCAAGTGATCCTTCCATCTCAGCCTCCTGAGTAGCTGGGACTACAGGCACGCACAAACAAACTTGGTTAATTTTTTTTTATCTTTTTGTAGAGATGAGATCTTTCTATGTTACCTAGACTGGTCTCAAACTCCTGGGCTCAAGCAATAGTTCCGCCTCATTCTCCCAAACTGCTGAGATTATAGGTCTGAGCCACCGCACCTGGCCAACTGTTTCTCTTATGACTTATTTCCTCTTTCTAGTTTAAGAATTCCTTCTCCATCTTGAAATCTTATGGTCAACTACATTTTATTCTAAGATTTTTAAGAGCTATATCATCTATTTAATCAATAATTCATTTTAGAATATAATGGAAACACAGTAAAAGAATTTTGAATTGCAATAATAAGAAGGCAGAAAGCTACCCACAAAATGAATACTCTATCTCCACAGACATGTCTGAGTATCACAGTAATGTTTATGGGTAGCAAATATCTACAGATTGCCTGATAAAGAAAAGCTTTGATGAATGATTTGCAAATTTTATCTTGTCTCATTTGACTGGACAGATGTGACATAGTTGGGGCCACTTTCATTTTGACTTAATGGAAAGTCATGCTCATGATCACACATATACCAAACTCCCTTTTTATCTAGGAATCACAGTCCTGCAGTTTCTTCCCCTGAACTCTTCCCGCCACCAAACTGTGAGATTTTAAGGGAATGTCCTTTCCCCCAAAGTATATACACTTAAGCAACAGAATGAAAAATGAAAGACACAAATAAGTGGCTTGAAAAATCAGAGCATGCCACATGTAGCAAATAAAGCAAGGCTTCCCATTAGAGAGAGACTCAGATGATGAACTGCTGGGTGATGCCTTTCAGAACTTCTAAATGACTTAAAATGTAATTCACAGAAAAGCATTCTTCTGATAGAGAGTAATCTGAACAAATATGAAAAACACATAACAAAATAAGGTTCCAGGCCATGCAGTCATTAAAAAAAAAAGAAAGAAAACTGAATCTAGAGAAAAATGTCCAATATTTTACAATGGAGAACACGCAAAGCAGTCAGCCGATTTGAATCTTCATGCATTTAAGAGGAGTATGGAAGTTAGAGATGCAACTGCAGTCTGAATGATACTTACAAGGTCACAAGTTTACCTGACTTTTCTAAATTTCCAAGCAGCTAACAATTAAGAAAACAAAAAACATTCATTGATTTGCAAATGTTTACTACAAATAACACCACAAAACACAAACAGAATCTTTTATCATGACCCACACAGTACAAACATTTTCCCCTCAACCATTTGGGAAAAAAATGCAAATAAATGCTGCTACAGACTAAGGAGCTATGCCATAACACTGACAATATACAATACTATCAATTTTTTTTTTAAAGGACAAAATATAGAAAGGAACCACACAGCACACCAGACCAGTGATAATTAATACAACTATGTAGTTGGGGCATACAGATTGAATTGGTGGGCATTTCATTTTAGATGTGTCATGTATGCAACTTAAGTGTTCAAAAACAAAAAAAGTCCTATGTTTTTGAAAGGAAAGAATCCAGTCAGGAAAATGCAAGACTTGATCAAGTGGCATCAAGCTTGGAGGCCGAGCAAACAACACACACAGCCACAGGCCTGCCACACTCACTGCACAGACTCATGACACGATGGTGCTGCCTAGGCCAACGGGATGTGATGGGAGGTCAGGAGGCTCCCAGTGGTTTGGCAGCTTGGCCCTGATAGTCAGAGGCAAGCACTCAACCCCTCTACTGGGTGCCAAACTGTGGCTTGCAGCAGAACTGGAGATGTGTGCTCAGCATGTTTCTGACTCCGGAGGTGAGTTTGTGTGAGGAGTGAGTGTGTGCTAGAAAAGACCCAGTTCTGAAAAACCCAACCACCATTCTCTGCCTTATCATGTAGCTGAAGGAAAAGGCACAGACTTGATCCCTTTATAAAGCTCCAAATGCCAGAAAACCAATCACAATGGCTCAGAAAATGAACAAAACACGATTGCTAAAATGCCCTGAAGCTGGAAATACTTTCTCTTTTTGCATCATGGAAAGCTGTTCTCGTAAATTCAAGCAGACACAAAACATGTACTAGGTATAACCCTCTAATCAGAAACACTAAGTGTGAGCTGCATTCTTTTAAATTGAACAGAGGACTGATACCGAATGATGGTTTTATAAAAAATAAATCTCTTAGGTTCTAGTCTAGAACATGTTCCTGCAAAAGAGTGAAAGAGAGCAGCAGGGACGCTGGGGGTGGTGGTAAAACTCCCTGGACTTAGCATTAAATTAAAAGTGCTCTGCTCACCGTTTGCCTTGAAAACTCTTCTAAAATGTATTTATTTTCTAAAATGTCCAAATGAAGAATAATTTAACTTTTCTCTATCAAATCAGGGTCTCTCCTTACCTCAAGGGCACACATATGAAAAGGCTGGGCTGAACCTGCATTGCCTGAGTCGCCATGTTTTTATAGGGAGATTTATCTTTGGAGTCTGGTTCTACCAACTATAGCTACATGAGCCCTAATAAGGAAAATTTTTCACTGGTCTCAGTTTCTTCATCTGTAAAACAAGGACAATATCATGCCTTCAAAAGTTGCTGTGAGGATTCAACAAGTACAACAAATACTTGAAAGCACTGAGGACAGTTCCTGGCCTTGAGAAAGCAAGTAATAAATCTTTTCTGCTTCCATGTGTACATTTATGTGTCCAATATATTTCCTATCAGCAAATGCTATTCAACAAGAATAAAATTAATGTTCAGAATATCAGATCTATGTTTTTTTGGTTGACCACTTAGAAACTGGAATCAAAATATTTTGATTAGCAGAATCTCTTAGTTGTGTCCCAAGTTTAGCTGTGATACAAACCTCAGTCTTTCTGCTGGAAACTGTTTTATTTAGATGCCTGTGTTCACAAATGAGTGTGTCAGAATATGATCATGTTTATGATAAATGTCCTCATGCTACCACTCAGGAATGCTGGCCACCATGTTGTACAGGGGAAGACTGGGATACCATGAACAGAACACCAGGATGAGGAAGGAAAAGAGGGAGTTCAGATATCCTGAGACATGGCCCCATGAAAATAGGAACCCCTCAAGTCTGGCTGGTCTGATGGCAGCTTTGACATTATTGCAAGATAGATGTTAGAAAGGGTCAAAACAGAAACATGATAAAGCCACACACGATGGCTCTTGTCTGTAATTCCAGCATTTTGGGAGGCCAAGGTAGGAGGATTGTTTGAGCCCAGGAGTTTGAGGCTAGCCTAGACAACATAGTGAGACCTCATTCGACAAAAAAAAAAAATTTTTTTTAGTTGTGGTCTCACTCTGTCACCCAGACTGGAGAGCAGTGGCACACTCCCGGCCAGCGCAGCCTTGACAAGCTGGGCTCCGGCACTCCTCTCACCTCAGCCTTCTAAGTAGCTGGAACTACAGGCACGTGCTACTGCGCCCGGCTAATTTTTTATTTATTGTAGAGATGAGGTCTTGCCAAGTTGCCTGGGCAGATCTCAAACCCATGGGCTCAGGCAGTCCACTCGTCTCAGCCTCCCAAAGTGCTGGGATTACAGGCTGAGCCACTGAGCCTGGTCTCGACAAAATTTTTTTTTTTAATTAGCCTGTTGTGGCCTCACATGTCCGTAGTCCCAGTTGCTCAAGAGGTTGAGATGGAAGGATGGTCCGAGCCCAAGAGGTCCAGGCCACAGTGAGCCATGATGGTGTCACTGTGCTCCAGCCTGGGCAACACAGTGAGATCTCGACTTTAAACTATATATATGTATATATGAAGAAAACTGTACCTGACAGTGATCATATCATACAAAGAAATACCATAATCACCAACAGATCACTTGAGGAGGAGAGTGAAGTAAAGGCAGCTTAACCTAGGTTCAAGGCTATATTGCTAATAAAAATTCAAGCTCAGCACTACCGCTTTCCAGTCAAGCTCGTCCAGTTCCCAATAGCAAGCATGCCTTCCTCTTCAACAATGCATGAGCTACCTCCTTGCTTGGTATATCCTCGTCAGCATTTCCTCCTCCCCTACCAGAATGTAGTGCCTCGGAGTCTACACATCCAGCCTCTGAGTCCACACAGCCACTCTCCACAGTGGATGGTGATTATCTTTCCTTTTGCTTAGTGCACTCATACACACAACAACAACAACCTAGGATGCTGCCTTTAGCGTCTCATTTGCCTTCCTCTACATGCATGCCTTTATCAGGAGACATGAACGGTCCAATGTAAATCTCTGCCCAGAAATATGGCTGCATCAAGATTCATTTTTATAGTTCCAATGGCTTATGGGACAGAGCTTAATTTCATACTACATTCAAAAATCAAACCCGAAATCATCCAATTCTTCCTTTGCCAAACTCCCAAACTACCCATTTCTGTCAATGGTGCCACCATTATTTATATGTTAAGACCAACATGTCAATCTCTCTCTTTCTGCCATTTAAAATTGTTATCAATTCACTTTTACCAACTCTCTTTTATGTTATTGATGGCCATTCTTTGATATAATTCCTCCAGCCCACTCTATAGTCACAGATGAAAGTTTATACCTTTAAAAAGCAACATGTCTCTTTAAATATCTGACATTTCTGATCTCTTGTGTGTTGTTATTTCCTTATAATTATTACATATTATTTCTCTAAAAGCACATACCTCTTTTGGTAAAGATGCTAATTTATTTCTGTCTGCATTCAAGTTGCTCAGCTTCTTTAGTTTTCCAATACTCTTGGGTAAAGTCTGTTAAAACAGCAATTTCATTTTGAATTTAACACATTTTTAACATAGCTTGCAGTTAAACAGATCTTTGCAAAGACTTAAAGAAAATAACTTCATCTAGCAAAAGAAGCAATTGTTCTCACTGAATATTAGATACTTGCAATATTTACTCAGGGGATGTAAAATTAAATATTTTGAATTTTGTCGAAATGACAACATGTTTTAAGAAATGAAGTCAAAGGCAGAGACCTGAGAACAGGGAAGCACCTTGTAAAGAGGAAATGAATGCCCCTCAGCTCAGGTAAGTGAGGATTTGCACCCTCAGATTCACCCCTGTCCTGCCTATACCTTCAGGGGCTATACTGGGATGGTGGCTTAGGTGATGGTGGAAGCCAGAATGCAGGGGGGGATTCAGCACCCGCAGCAGGGCACCATGAGGCCAGGGGAGGAAGCGGGCCATGGGATGGGAGGAAGGTGAGCAGGCTTGGTGTGGGGAGCAGAGCCCTATCGGAGTCCCACTGGAGCCAGGCCAGGGTCCACGTGAAGTCTTCAACACTGCAGTGGAATCCAGGATGAATACTGTTGTTATAATTGTTATGATTACTACGTGTAAGCCTAAAAACACAAAGTAGGACAGGAGGAGCTGGGAACTCCCACCACACCTGCCAGAGGCTGGCCGCTTGAGCCACCTGAGACGCTGCCAGGTTCCCGACCCAAGTCTGTGCCCCATCCGCTCTCGCCGTCACTATTCTCCTAAAGAGCATTACTTACTCTATGTATAGAAAATGGAGACAGGGGGAAATGAGGGAAAGGGAGTGTTAAAATAAAGTGACAAAATGAAGATGGGGAAAAGAGAAGAGAAAGGTAGGAAAGAAAACTGAAGAAAAGAGGGTGGTTATGTGACAACCAAATGGGGGGAAAGAAAAGTGAAACCGAAGGACTGATGACAGCAGGATGGGAGAAGACAACTGAGATCTGCAGCCACCCTGCCCACCCATTCTTGGCAAGGGTGCACGCACTGTCTCTGTCCTCGGCGGAGGCATAGGGAACCTGATCCAAGGTGGGGACACTCACAGCCACCTCCACTCCCAAGTTCCAGGACGGGGTACAAAGTAGCCTTAATCAGAGGTCACCAGTTTCCATCCTCTGGGTTCCCACAAAGAGCGCTCGCAGTCCCAATCCCACCGGGGGTTTCCCTGACCAACCTACATTTCTTCCCCTTCCCTCTTGCTCTTCCCATTTGCGCAAAGAACTCAGGGAGAGGCCAGAGGAACCTTGGAGAACATTCCCTGTGGCAGTCTCAGGAGGCCACGGCAGAGGCATCCACACCTCCAACTGTAGTGGCTTATCCCCATACCTCACAGGGATTCCTGTGAGACATCAGCTCTATCCCCATATTACAAGCACCACAACTGGTACACAAGCTTGGCCTGGGGAGGTCAAATACTACTTTCTTTACTTAAACAAGAAAAAACTGATCTTCTGTACGTCACGCATTTGCTCTGTAAGTCCCTTTCTGAAATGTAACATGGGGAAATTTCCACTGGGTCCCTTCAAATTGCAAATAAAGAGAATCTGCCCAAGTATGTCTTTATGTCAGTGTGCAAGCCACTCACCAAGAGCCGGTTTTCGGTAAGAACTAGCTCAGTGAGACTTTCACAATCCCCAACTGCTTCAGGCAACTGTGTGAGTCTGTTCTGATCAAGCTTCAAGATCGACAGTTTCTTTAGTTTTCCTGTAAAAGCATTATTTAAACTCATTAGTTATGATTGTTTTCCTAATCACCACTTGGTATTTCCTATCTGCTATTCTTTGTTTTAAATAGTTACTTATTTTTCTATCCAGCTTTTCACAATATGAAATGATGTCATTCTTATTTAGATCACTGAATATTGAGAGTTGAAGTAATTTGTTCAGAACATCAAAAGCAGGCAGCAATTACAAACAAAGCATTTTAAAAATCATAAAAACATCATATCAAGGCCAGAAAATTAAAAATCAAACAAACAGCTGGTTCTCAATGAATCTTTAAGAACAGGAGGTGTTTTGTGTATGAAGACAACTTTCATCTTACTCTAAGAATCATCCTTATTAAAAACAATAAAGTGTGGTTTATTAAATCACCTATGAATGAACAATACTCAGTGAAGACCCCTACATGAATGAAGCAGTAGTCTCTGGAAAGCCACAATAAGGACAAGTCTACTTCACTCAGGGCAGGAAGATATGACCCCCTGATGATGCTTGGTGTCCACAAAGGAGAAGAATGTGCCTTCCTGCAGCCTCCTCAGAGGCCCCATCAGGTGAAAAAAAAAATCCTGAATCATTCAGATCTGCACTATCAGCTACAAGTCAGGGGACTGAGCCTAAAGAGCAGATGCCCTTCATGATCTACTGAGTGGCTAACATGAGGAAACTGTCCCCATTAAATCAGACAGCAGCCTCTACTCTAATAGAGATATATAGTTGGAGAAAGGAAGATATTGGAAGGCTTACCTTGCCTTGTATGCGGATATAGGGCAGAGTAGGAGGACTAGCCAACTCTTAAGTTCTTTATTTGGCACAAGCAATAGCTTACTAGCACTGCACCTGGAGGGTTTCCACCTGTCCTCTATGTTAGGAGACATGGTGGCATTCTCTGCAGGGTACACTGAGTGCTACAACCAAGCACCAAGACACCTCATACCAACAGAGGAGTCTGCTTAACAGTATTACTGGCAAGTAGTCTTGCAGCCACTCCTTGAATACTTCTAGTGATAGGGTACTCATTACTTCACCAAGCAGCCCAAACTAATTTGTAACATATCTTTGCTTTTTAAAGTTCTGTCTTCACAATCCTTTCACTTCACCCATTTGAACTAGATCATGCAATAAATCCACTCCTCGTTCTGCAGACAGCCCTTCAAAGGTTTGCAGATCATCTCATGCCTGCTACTGCTTCTCACTCCAGGCAACAAGATGTGCCCCATTTCCACCATCCCTTTCAGATGCCACAGATGATTTCCAGTGAACATCTCTACAAAGATTCAAAATCCCCATCAATTTTCCAAATGGTTTTAACTGAAACACACTATCTGTATTCCTACTGGGTTGCTAGTATCAGTTACTGTTTCATCTTGACCAAATATCAGAGAGGAAGTGGTCCTCTGTCACACAGCTTCTCCAACTACTGGAAACCTTTCAGAAATTTCCTTTCATGGGTTTTGAATAAGTTAAATCCTTTAACTCTATGGTTAAATATAGTTTCCTACAACATCTAAGTGGCTTTGCTATGGTGGAACTTCTAGTCTGTGCCTGTTTATATCTTCTCTATGTTTGATTTCTCACACTGGACTGAGTACTTTATAGTAAGGAAAAAGGCCTATATTGATTTTTCTTTAAAAAAGAAAATAGCATAGAATGGTTTAAGGATTGTTCCAATGTACTAGAAAGGTTCTACTCAATCATACCACTCTTTTTTGGGCAGCATCTTCCCTGGATCATGCAATAAGGTCAAAGTTTTTCTCATCTCACAATTAGGATGCCAAATTAGAAACTTCTTAGTGATTGCTCATATGCCTTAAGCACATTTTATTATTTGAGCTAATACCTCCTTAAATCATTGAGACAAGATGCAGATGAAGTAGATATGAGTCAAGACTTAAGACTAACAATGTAACCTGTAATTGCTACCATCACAGATGACAGAATCACTTGCATATACAGAAACTTCAGTTGTATTAAATATTATTTGCTTTCCTTCTTCAAAAGCAAAAAGTAGATTTTAAGGAGTCACACCCCCAGCACCGAGGGTGGTGACCAAAGGATCAGAGTGTGCTCCAACTGTTCAAGGCAACAGCAGGCAGCTCCGTCAGTTAGTTATTGTCCATGCTTACCAATGCCATCTGGAATCGTTTCTAATAAGTTCTGGGAAATGACTAAATCTATTAATGAAGTCAGGCCACTGATTTCTTCAGGAAGTCTTTCCAACCTGTTTTCAGAGACATCTATGCACAGCAGGTTCTTCAGATTTCCTATTTCCTGTAACAATGACATGGAAAAAGAAACTCATGCTTAAACCTGACACAGAGGAATGTGTTGCAGTGACTTTTCACAGCCAAATCCTAAAGCAGTCCTCAGGATTTGTCTTTAGCATATATTCAAATGTGAAGGCAGAAGCGAATGCCTAGACCCCTTCCAATCAAACGGGAGGTTGTATAAATCAACAGACATAGAACTGGGAGGGCAGCCAAGCCTTCTACCTTCAGGCAGGCAAGGAATCATTCTCACTTAACAGATGAAGAGACCGGAGAACAAATGACTGCAAGATTACACAGTTAGGAGGCAAAGGATGCTGGAATCCAGTTCTCCAAGTTTGAAATCAATCATTAGTAAGCAGCTTACACTGCAGAGCAACTCTGGGGTTTTCCTTCCATGACATGAAGTACTTGTTACCACAAACATCAATGCAGTAGCTCACCAGAAAAACTGAAGCAGACCCATCGACATCTTTAACATCAACAGAAAAGAGAAGCATACTGTTTTTAAAGGAGAACAGTCTATCCAGGATTAGGACAGGTACCTCAAAGAGTCTAATATTTTATTTAAGAGTTCTCTTTCCTTCCATTCCCACAATGCATACTTTCTCTCTTATAACTGCCTCCACTTTTCGGTTCCTATATTCAATTCTCCTATATTCAATTCCTACCCTCATTACTCTTTTCACCCTGATTGTCAGCTCTGTCTCTTGGACTCTGGTCTGACTGCTCTTTCCCAAGTTCATTCTATAAATGGTGCCTCCTAATTTTCTTCCTGAAATCATAGCTAGTTCTAGTCACAAAATCAGACCATCCTTCTACTTAAAAAGCTTTTAGCAGCTCCCTGATGTCTACATAGGTGTACATTTCTCAATCTACATTTAATTTGGTCTAAACTAGTCTTTCCAGCCTATCTCCTACCTAATACACACCTCACCAGCCTGTCACTATATTTCCTGTCTATAAGAAACCAGATCACATTTCTACCAATTTCAGACCAGACCCCTGAAGTTGTTCTACTTTTCATTAATTCCTTTTAACAATATCTTATATCCTTCTTTTTCCATCATCACTGAAGACAAGAAAATTATTTTGATTATCTGAGACTTTTTGTGTATTTATTCCTGGTTTAAGACAAGTTTATACTATAGGGGCAAATGAGATTTTTTTCAATTAGTGATTTACAATACAATCATTGGAGCTTTAATTTATTTGTGTGTAGGACAGTACATTTGGCACATAGTCATTTACACACATCTGTACATACACATACTTTGCATCCGTCATGTCCAATAGTTGATGTTTTATTACTCTCTTGATAATTTCATGGGATTTTCCCCCATCCTTTGATGCCTAAAGTAACTAGCGCTCTCTCAACCAGAATTCCTCTCACATTTTCCAGAGAAATCTAAGTATTAATTGATCAGTATTAATCTCTTTTTCCCAACTGTAGCCAAGATCTCAGAAAAAGACTTAAATTAGTTCCTTAGTTCCATTAGTCACTAAGTGACATCGTGGCAACTTCAGTGCCAAAGCTATGACAACTGAAAATGTACTTAAGAGCTTTCTTCTAGTGTCCAGCCTCCCTGCATTGATGTGGCATCTTCCACTAAAGACACAGCCCCTGCACACCTGGTTCCCACTGTTGAGCAGAGATAGCATCTGGACTACTTTTAAAATACAAGCACCTACATCAGGAAATGCACTAACTGTAAAAACTGGTTGTAAGACACACTAAGGCATAAGATTCAGTAACAGTTTAGAGAGAAAAATGCCCAGGGAAAATGCCTGGATTTTTGTTTATTTTCAGTTTCTCAGTTTCTCAGAATATGTGCCTGTTTGTTAGGACTCCATAGGATTACTGGGTACTCAGAAGTTGTACAAGACTCCACTTCATTTGGGACATGGTTCTCATATTTGGCAACAGCAGGAAAAGCCTCAACCCCCATAGCATGCCTGCTAAACCATGAGCAATATTTTGAAAAAATATGAAATGAAGAAGTTTAACATTGCTTTTATATGAACCAATACAGTGCAAAATGTGGTCAAATTATCCCAAATCACAAAGAATGGCAGAAACGTACACAACAGAATCATGGATCCTGGTAACTTATAAATCTGCTGGACTTAAAGTAAACTACATAGTATCAAGGATGAAATAAAATATAGACTTCACAAATGAAAGGACACATTTACTCTCTTTAGAAATGGTAGATTGAGATTTTCAGTTTTTCTAAGACAATGTAGAATGATGAATGCTCAGTGTTCTTCCAAATATGTTTTTTTAACCAATAATTTTGGTTTTCAAGATCCTTTTTAAGAAAACCTTATGTAGAAGCAGGGACTAGAAAAGGTTCATTGTTGTTGCTGACCTATGTTTTGGGGGAGACACTGTGAAATTTCTAATTACCTGAGGTAATTCTGACAGTTGGTTTCCATCCAACCAGAGATTCTTCAGATGTAAGAGAGCTCCAATTGATTCTGGCTAAAACAAAACAAAACAAATAATGTTATGGTAACAAAGATCATGAAGAAAGAAAGACTCCTAATTCATCAATTAACAACTGGGTACCATAGCAGATGTTCACTGGTACTTCTCTAATCCCAAGCCTCCTTCCTAAAAGTACCCAGACCTTTCCAAGATCACCAGTTGTTTTCACCTAACCATCATCTCCAGTTCATCCCCAAATCATAATTTTTCACCTGTGTGAGCTGACGTACATCCTCTAATGTTCCCACACTACATCTTATGGATATATACTGGCTCATAGGTATCCCTGTAGAACTCTCCAAAATATTGTGTGATCATAACTAAGAACAAAGTTAAATTCAGAATCTCTTTGATACAGACTTACCAAATTATATATTTCATTGTTTCCTAAATCAAGTTCTTCTAGTCTCCGTAGCTGAGTAAGAGAGCTATATAAAAACAGAAAAAAAGTACTTAGAGAGCACTTAGAAATGCTGAGTAACATAGTATTCCTTGTTTGAACTAGTTTCCAAAAATAAGATTCATTTGGATTTTTAATGCTAGAAAATATTGCACAGAAAGGACTAAAAGAGGCTAGCATCTCCCAAACTTTCCAAAACACAAAATGCTTTCTTGACATAATACCATAGTCCTTTTTTTGTTTAAATTCATTCTGTATAAAATCTCCTCTTATTTTCCCCAGAGACTCACTCAGGAAGATACGTAAGAAGATTCTCTCTCAGTTCCAGTGACACCAGGTTATAAAGACTAGAAAGAAAGAGAAGAAAAAAGTATAAGGGAAATTCCAGAGATTCTTGCTATTCCGCCTCCCCCATATACATACTCCACAAGTAGCATTGTTTAATAAAACCTTCTACTTCACTTTCCAGGGTAAAAATACCTACCACCACCGCTCCCCACGCCCCTTAAAAGCAATATAATCTCTACCTCTCAAATTTTAATCTAAAAATATTAATGCAATAATTAATAAAAAGAGTAGTGTGTCATAACTACAAGGCACTCTCAATCAAATGCCTTTGTACATGTGATATGTGGGAAAAAACTCACTAATCCATTAAAAGACAACCACTCCCAGGACCAAGATAGAAGTCAAATGCATGCTTCCAGAATTTAGAATGCCAAAAATGTGATATTACCACAAAAACAGTAGCACCTTTAATTTTGCAGAGCTCAGTGCTCTTCTTCTAAACATTAGTGAAAGACCATCCCTGTTTCAAAGGAGTGGGCATCTCAGTCCAGAGAACCCAAGTGGATCGATCTACTTAAGATGAAGAATTCATAGAACAAGTGGTGGCAGCACAAGGGAAATAACTCCCACTAAAATGCATTAGGAATAATTTAACAGTGCACCTTCACAGTACCTGGAACACGAGACTGAGTTCATATATGGTATCTATAATAATGTTGCTTTTATTTCTATTAAACCCTTGAATGAAGCCCTTTTCAGCAGATTCTCCTGCTTTTCCAGTGTAATCCTGACTATGAGAAGTATGGTAGAACAAGACAGATGTTCTTCCCAGACACTGATTATTTGAGCCAAATCTTGACAGGCAGTAGCAATTCCGCAACACCAGAAACCCTCATTCAACCAAGCTATGTCAGCACTGGCATAACATTGATTCAGAAAATAAGTGACTTATGTATCATCCCAATGGGCACTGTAATAAACTCTATAGCCACCGAAAACGACAACTCACGTTTTGCTAATATCACCATAGTAACATCCGGATTTGGAAGAATTTTATTTCTGAGCATACAGAACATAGGAAGTCAGACATTATCCCAAAACTATAATCTGCCGTAATCCTCTATTCTCCCTCCTTCCAACAAAAAAAGCCAGATTCATGCATACACAAAGCTGGTTTCATAACATCGGAAAATGTAAATTTAATTTAAATGAATCTTATCTACACAGGCTTAAAACCTGTTTGCCAGAATATACATTTTAATGGTACTATGAAATGCACAAATTCTGTATAGCTCCAATTTTATAAAATAGTTTTCATAATTAAAGAGCAAACAACGATCAAAAAACTTTTTTATAAAACAAAAATCTGTGTTAATACAGTAAACATACATTTAATACCAACACTCTTCGAATAAAATGGAACTAGGTGGGGAGTTGCAATGGCCTAGCTCTACTTTCTCTTGACTAAGTGTTTCAGTAGAAATAACAAGGGAAGGGGGAGGTTGCCACCCAGGACCTTCTCCAAAAGCAGTTGCAAATCATGGTGATAATACTTGAAAAGCAAAAGTAAAAACTTCAAAGGGCTTTGTTTTCAGTTTTGCATACCCATGTAACCCCTAACCAGTTTTGCTGGGGAGGTGGTAATTCCATGGTTATTGTTACACTCAAATTTTAAAAATCAATGACAGGATTGTCATTTTATCTATTCAATATTCATTACATTCACACTGATTTTGACAAATGACATCCACTAATAAAGGAAAGGGGGAAAATCCTTCTTTGCTTCAAAGATTTGGGCATTTGGGCATCCCCAAAAGCATCTTCCAAAACAGTTTACACAGGCTTCAATGCTGAGTGTTGGGCCAATTTTCTGCAGTCTTGGTCAGAGCATTTCCCGCAAAACACAGACAGAAGCCTGGGGGAGAAACAAGGAGACCCAAATTCTGCATGCCTTTATCCGTTACTTCAGTTAAAACATGATATTATAGACACACAAGAAAGAGTCAGGTAATTGTAATACTTTTACCAATGTGATTAAAAATTAAACACTTGAGATACAATATGAGAATGACTAGACTTTAACAGTCCTACTACTACTAATGATATTGGCAACTTATTATATGACAGATATTGTTGTAATTGCTTTACAAGAATTGACTTAATGGATGAGAAAACTAAGGCACAGAGAGGGAACTTGAACAATGTGTCACAAAACTGATAAGTGGTAAAGCCAGGATTCACTGGGAAACTGAATTCTTAACCACTATGTTCTGCTGTCTCTCATTTTTGAGTTGGCAGGTCAATTTTGTAAGTAGGTACACATTTACATAAGTATATATTCACATATTAATAAAATATATATTCTATATAAATGCATATATTATAATACATAGATATATAATAATATTTTTTCCTGTCTTTGTCCTCCATGAATCCAGCCTCTCACCACTAAACAGATTCTCACAGGAAATAAAACTTTTTTTTTTTTTGAGTTGGAATCTCACTCTGTCACCCAGACTGGAGTGCAGTGGCCGCTCCCAGCCACCGCAGCCTCGACCTGCTGGGCTCTGGCGATCCTTCCACTTCAGCCTTCCAAGTAGCTGGAACTACAGGTGCGTGCTACCACGCCTGGCTAATTTTTTTTTTTTTTTTTTTATTGTAGAGATGAGGTCTTGCCAACTTGCCCAGGCGGGTCTCGAACCCGCAGGCTCAGGCAAACCACTCACCTCGGCCTCCCAAAGCACGGGATTACAGGCTGACCCACCGAGCCCGGCCAAAACTTTTTAAAATTTTAACAAATTCATAATACTCATCCAGGGATTTCTCTTAGCAGACACAAGCAGGTAAGAACATACAGTCTTACTTTTTTCACTAAAAAGGTAGCATCCTATTTACATCTGCCACTTTGCTTTCCTCACTTAACAGACTTTTGTCTCGTTTCTTATTTATACAGTTTTTTTTTTTTTTTGACAGTTGCTTGGTATCTCACTGTCAATATATATATACCTTAATTTTTTTTGAGTTGGGGTGTCACTCTGGCACCCAGACTGGAGTACAGTGGCACAATCATGGTTCACTGCACCCTCTATTTCCTGGGCTCAGGCAATCCTACTTCCTCAGTCTCCTGAGTAGCTGGGACTGTAGGTATAGGTGCACATCAACACACCTGGCTAATATTTTTTTTTTGGTAGAGACAAGGTCTCACTATATCGCCCAGGCTAGAGTATACCTTAATTTTTCTAACTAGAATTCTATTAACAGACATTTCGCCCTTGAGTTTTAATTTCTGTGTAATACTGCTGGAACAACTTCCTCCTCTTCTTGAAAAAACACGATTTGCCATACCACTACCACACTCCTCCCCCGCACCCCCAGTCAACTCCTACTATTCCTACCACCAAAGGAAGGTGGGGGTTGGGGAAAACACCTCATAAGCTCCTGCAGGAAATGAGTGCATGAAATATTTCTTCTTGGCACACCCTTACTCAATGTTCTACACAGTTCATGAGAGTAGGGACAAAAGTTACACTCTTTTGTAAGTCAGAATGTAGGCCAACTGTATTTTTAGGATTCTATTTCAGGGACTTGAATGAGTGGTTACTTTAAGGAATTCACATCTGTTCTCTACTATGTTTTAAAAACCATTTTTAATCCACTTGGATTTCTTTTCCATTTAGCGGCCAAAATCATTACGAAAATGAAGAATAAAATAAGTGAAGACCGACCAAGCAAACAAATGGCAGCATACAGTAAAATCATTAAAATATAAATTCTGCAAACACTGATGGCTACAATATTTGATTGAGAAAAACAATATTGATGGGAACAAGGGAAGTTGCTTATACATTCATAATGGTTCTGCTCTTTCAACACCAAATTAGTATTTAAGAAATCTTTGTTTACAAATTTCCTTATGATGCCTTTACTGTGGAAAACTTTTTAAAACAAATGTTTACTTTTGGTTTTGAAGCAATAAATATGTTAAAGTAACTACGAAGCCTCAGCAAAAAGAGCATTAAATATGGTAATAGTTTTATAAAAGAAGACTTACTTCTCTTAGACAGTATGCACTTCTAAACAATACAGGTAAGCAGTCCAGCAGTAGGCCTTGTGAGCCAGGGTCATGTGGCTCACTTAGTTCAAGCTCACTCAAATTAAGGTCATCATTCCCAAAGGCAGCAGACACAAAATCAAACCCACACACTCTAGTTCAATCTGCCAGAGAACCTAGGGCCTACTCACTTGCTCTACTTCTATCAGCAAGTTGTCATAATTAAATGTTCATTGATAATATCTATTTAGTGACCGATAGCTGTTTTGGATGCTATACTAGTTCGTTACATATATTCCTTCACCTCTAAGAATGCTGTTTTTGAAGGAGATCATTTAATTAAACAGGGAGTAGGAATATTTAGGTTAACTTCTTTTTTAAGGGTATTAGCTTCATTAATGGCAAAGAATATGGACTCTTGAGAGTTACCACAAGTAAAGACAGCAGTGTGTTTCCAGAGACACACAGAGGCTTCCTAGATTCTCAAAATGTTCCATCCATTGCCACCAGGGCTTTTGTGTTCTCCCAACCTTCCCTCTTACTCTATATCTCTTGAGCATTTTAAAAACTCTAACCATGTGCACCTGCCTGATCACCAGGTGCAAGTAACTAGACAATATGTTAGCAAGAATAAACTATATCAGTTTACCAGGTATAAGTAGCACCATCTTTCAACAGTACCAGGCTTCAAAATTGCCTAAGGTCCATTATATTTTTTATAAGATATAATTCACAAACTATAAAAATCACCTTTTGAAAGTATAAAATTCAGTGGTGTTTAGTAGATTTATTCACAAGGTATATGAACATCACCACTATCTAACCCAGAACATTTTTCATCTCTCCCCCAAAAAGTTTATATCCATTAGAAGTGACTAACATCTTCCCCTACCCTCCAGTCTCTGGCAACCAATAATTTAATTTCTGTCTTGATGGATTTGACTATAATAAACATTTCATACAAATTGAATCACACGATATTTGATCATTTGTGCCTGGCTTCTTTTACTTAACACGTTTTCAAGGTTCATCCATGTTGTAACATATTGCAGTACTACATTTCTTTTTATGGCAGGATAATATTCCATTGTGTAGATATGCCACATTCTGTTTATCCATTTACCTACTGATGAAAATTCTACTAGTTTCTACCTTCTTGCTCATATGAATAATGCCAATAATAATACTACTATAAACATTCACGTACACATATTTGTATAGGTATAAGTTTTCGATTCTTTGGGGTATATATAAATAAGAGAAGAATTGCTGGGTCATATTGCTGGGTCATGCCCCAGTTTTTGAAAGAGGATTTGTTCAAACTGTTTTACAAATGAGCTATACCATTTTACATTCCCACCAACAACCTATGAGGGTTTCAATTTCTCCGCATTCTCACCAACACTTGCATCTACTCCTAAGATAGATACACGTGCACGCCTTCCTCTCCCTCCACTGCTGCCCTTCCATGCCAACTAACTTCTGCAATGATATATATAGTCATTCACTTAATTTCACCCCAACTTACTCTAAAAGGGATTTACAGAAATCTTTTAAAATATGCAGAAATCTTGAAAATATGCAGAAAGGTTTATGAAACAAAGTTAGAGCCATGAAAGGGCGGAAGAAATTAATGTGCTCATTGTGAGAAGTATGCAGCACCCTCAAGGAAGAAACTAAGTTCAAACGCCAGCTCTATTGCCCACCAGGACACACACCTGGGCAGATCACTTATCTCCACTTCACAAAGGAAGCTAATGACACTCAGGATGGTTAGGGCTAGCCATAGGAGCAAGGGTGCTGTCATGAGACAGTGCGTGCGTATCAGAGTCCCACCCCACTGCAGTTGTTCTCACTGGTCATCAGAATTAGCTCTAAGCTTTCTGGCAGCAAAGACAGATAAGAAAATGTGAGAAATGTCAGAAATGTTATTTTTTAAAAAGAAACGTACCAGTTCTTTTGATAAGGTATTTTTTTCCCTAAAAATAATTTTTTCTCTCCCTAATGGCTCCTTATATCAGAGAAATTAAGTAACATCAACAGACAATAATTATTCTTCGTTAGAAGGTTTTAGAGCAACAAAAATTGTATTTTTATAGTTGTTTCTTTATAACAACCTTTAATAGAAACTGCAGGACAGGCTAATGTGGTCCTATCACAAAGCTTCCAGAACTTGAACTTAATGTGATATTGGAAGCAAGTGGACCGAAGGAGGCAATACTGTGCGCCTTGTCATGTGTATCTGTTTAGTATGCAAAGACAATGTCAGGGTAAGTACAGGCAAAAAGAGAGTTCACAACCAAGGTTCCTGCAGTATCAGAGTACAAGGTGATCCAGGTACACACTGGTTATATACATACAATTAAATGCTGAACAACTAGACTTCTGTGTATAGACAAAGGACTAAAGTGCTTATTATGTGGAGTGTGAAAGCTAGGTCAGGGAACCTGCAAGTTTGGGACCTATTGCACAGCTTCCAATCATTGGAGAGGGCATGACGGAAGAAGTAGAATACTAATCATGAATGAGAAAACATCTCAGTCAATTTGGAAAGGGAGGAGACTTGTAAAAATTTTAAAAGTTCACCTGAATTAGAATAAGCAGGTTGGAAAATGAATGAATACAATTGTTTTAAAATAAAAATTCGTCAAGTATATGAAAATCCTACAAATGCATGCCACTGATACAGTTAGAACGCTCAGCGAGCCTGCCATACCTGTGACATGGAGCTATATGATAGCAGGTGCTCCTTACATTTTTCACTTTGTATAACGCTATTCCTTGGTTTTACCCACCACCACCATGACTGTCGTCAGTTACCAATTCACCAAAATCAAGGCAACTCATTATCTTATTTTTTAAATTAATCTTTGTTTAATGTATGTATAGCTCATATTTATTTCAATGTTTAACATTAAAGGTATTTGGGGTCTTTTTTTTAGAAGTTTAGTGATGTTTTTGTGACCATATGCTATGGGAATTTAACTCATCTTTATATCAATTAGTCTATGGTAAAATTGTTTCATTATACGTCATTTCACCTAAAAGTCGCAGTTTCTAAGAACCTATCAAAGACTTACTCTAAATAATTGGAAATACTTCAGAATAAAATGAAAATGTTTATTCTTTCAATTTATATGTATTTTTTGCAAACAACTACTGGGTTGTTAGGACATAAATACTAATGAAGATATTTAGACCTAACTACTTAATGAGTGAACTGTTAGATATTTCTAGGAACACTAAGAAAAAAACCACCGAGCCTAAATGGCCCTCAGAATCAACTGTCCTGCAGTGACAGCAGCTAGAAGACTGGAAAACACAGCACTGGGACCACGAGAGCTATATTCCAGTTCCAGCTCTGCCATTAACTCCCAGATACTCTGCAGGTTAACTGCCCTGGGGAGAATCAGATGCATGATGGGAGAAATAGCTGCAGATGCCCCAGCTTTGAGGCCCTGAAAGTCTTCTCATCCTAGATAAAGGCTTTAGCCCTCCCCTGCCCATCTGGGTGCTCCTGCCATCCTGAGGAGGTCCGAGTCTTGAGGAATCCATAGCTTCCCCAGTTGATGCCAAGTATCATGCTAGGTGCTGAGAGGAGAAACATAGGCCCTGTTGTCACAGATGCTCAAAAGGTCAGCACTACCGGGGCTTGCTCATTTGGCCACGTGAGCAGGATTAGTTTATGCAAAAACTCCACTTTAGACTCCACAAAGATAACAGCAAGTATCAATCAATCAAATGGCCATGCCATTTCCTTCCAAATTGTGTTTGGAATATTAAACTGGTGTGCCTTCTTTACAAAACCATTTAATCACTGAGAAATTGTCTTGGTTCTAAATATTTTGTTCATTCACTAAATGCATTCAATGCTCTAAAGAAACCATTTGGGAATCCTTTGAGAAATTAGAGAATCCTTTCCATGAGGAAATTTCATACGCTTCAAATAATGATTTGCTTAAAAGGCAGTGCATACGTGAGATTTCCTCGACAATTCACTATTTCAACTGTTTCAAGTGCCTTTTCCACATTGCCTAACATACCTGAGTTTTATTTCTACTAAGTGCCTGAGTTTTATTTCTACTAAGTGAGAACAGCCTATTATTTGAGCATGCATAAATCTTAAATCCAACTGGAAAAAAATCATACAGTGTCTTGCGATAGTAACAAAACTATTAAAAACCAAGAACAGAAAGCTTTATTTCTCATTTAATTCCACAAACTAGCTTAATAAGAATCAGTTAATTTCAAACTCAATGTGGCATTTTATTTTGTAAACAATCAGTATACATAATGCTATAATAGCAACACAAGCAGATTAAGTCTAAAAACAAAACAAAACATACTACCCTTAATATAGAAAGGGCACACACACAAGAAATCCTGAACACTGACAAAAACAAGTACAGATATTAACAGAAAAAATGGAATGAATATTGTAGTTTATTCTTAAAGTATTAAATAACAGTTTCCTTTACAACAATGGAGTAGAGGGGTAGAGGGGCATATTTTCTCTCAAGGCATTAAATCTTTTTAAAAAGACAAAAAAGCTGGGGGAAGGGAGGGGCAAGGAATCTGGGGCAAGAAGGGATGACCATCTGGGCAGTCACAGGCTGGGAATGAATGGGTGGGGCGATGCCAAGAGAAGTAAATTCCACAGACCCTGAGGTGCAAGAGGAGGACAGGGTCAGTTTGGGTGTTTAAATGGCTACTACATTTAAGGATTTTTAATTATAAATATATGTAACTAGATACAGCAAAAGCAAAGTGTAAGTGCATGAAATCCACAACAGAACACTGTTGTTTCCTCGACAACTGATACCACAAACCCAGCATGTGCTGGGGGCTTCTTGTCTTCTCCTCCTGAGAGTTTAAGGGCCCAATTCTTAATTAGCAAGTCTGCCAGCATAAAGTTAAAACATCAGTGTGTATCTCAGAAAAACACTGACTTGCTGGCTGAAACAAGTCAGTCAGTTGTTTTCTGCCCACTCAGGAGGGAAAGGAGAAGGAAAAAGCTGTCTGTCAAAAACTAGAGCAGACCCCTGGAAAGAGAACTTTTGCAGAACAGGCATGTCAGACAGACTACATTCAACTGCTTAGTGTGGTTCTCAAAGAGCAAGTTTGTGTTTTTTCTTGGAACTTGGGCAGGACAGGTAAACACAAGGAAAATAATTTCTGATGGTAGGGAAACACTGGTCTACCAGGGTAGGTCAGCCCAGTTGGGTTTTCATGTTAAGTGGTTAAGCTTGAGTCACTGCACCAGTCTGATTTAACCTACTGTATGTCCTGGAGAAGTGAAAAGGGGTTGCAAAGATCATTCAACTACTTCTATGTGGGAACGTCTAATAGAACATTTATTAAACAACATATGTTTTCTTCAAAGGATCCTATTTCTTGCCATGGCTGGGTCTTCCATGACCTCTAAATCGGCAACGTGGACACATACCTGTATCATTCCATCCTTCTCTCAGTTTCACTCCTGCTCTCCAATCACACCATTCTCACTCCTTGTTCCCAGACCCACAACTCGCCAACACTGTCAGACGTGGCTTTTCTTTAGGGGCATGTACTTTAAATTTTCTACAGAGTCATTTGCTAGATCTCGAGCATGGTTTAAAACTACTGAGTGGCCGTTTCCTCCAGTGTTTATTAGCCATCTGTATGGCACATACTACTTTGATTAACTACGTTGCAATGTATCAGTTTAAAGACAGCTTCCAAACAAATTAGGTTGTTTTTTTTTAACCAGTAACAAGTAGCAGTACCCCTTTTAATCATTAAAACATGGGAGGCTGCCAAACACGGGAGGCTGGCTATGATCGTTTTTGAAGGTAACATTAAAGAATGAGTAAATGACTTTTTAAGTAGAAAAATAAAAGCTTTAAGAGGGAAGGAGAGTGGAGCTGGGGATATAAATGCCCTTTCACCCTGATACCTTCAAACTTCACATAAAAACTTACTTGCCAATATTCTCAGGCAGAGACTGCAGTGAAATGTCATTTACAGAAAGACACGTTAAATTCTGTAATTCAGGAAAGCTTTCTGGCAACCTAAAACAAAAAAGTTTTATAAATTAAAGAGAAAACATGTGTGCACAGAATATACCATGAATAAATATGATGATTTCTTCTACATGCTGATTGAAATAACCTCCTAAAAATGACATTATATATGGCATGTTTGCCTTTTCTTATATGTAAGACATGTGGGAGAAAACAAAAAATAAACAAAACCAGTCTTCACTGACCTAACAGAAGTACAGGGACATGGTAAATACTTATTGACAGGGTGATCTCAGAAATAATTGAAAAGATATGCAAGCTCTAACAATAAAAGGGGAAAAAAATGTTGTAAAATTATGGAATGCTCTGTGCATAGAGCATTCCATAATAAATTATTGCTGCAGCTAATAGTACCTAAGAGTGAAAATACTTTACTGATTTTCAGAAAACAAAGAGAAAATTTCATCAGCCCATGAGATTATAATAAAACACAGGACAACCGTTCGATAGTGTTTCCTCTTGCAGTTCATAATACCCAGGAGAAAATGACAGACTACTCAAAATTGATTAGCTGACAGCCAATAGCTACTTTCTTAACATTTTTCTTTTAATTCTAGTCAAGGTGTCAATCACTTGAGATAATTATATGGTTTACTATTTTCTACACAAAAGGAGATTTTTTTTACATGTCCTTTAAACTCTACAGAATAACAAGGTTTCAAAATAAAATCATTATTTAAAATTTACAAAGAAAGTTTAGTTTCAATATACAGAGTGGTTACCAGTGTTTAGAGAAGAAGAAAAACCTAACTAATGGCAAAAAGATCTCATTGCACCTAAAATGATAAGGGTCCTTACACATAAATCCACTATACAGACAACAGAGTTACTTTTTTTTTTTAATCAAGAGAGAAATTTCTGTCTTTAGTGACAGTCTGTAGATTTGAATCTTTCATTTTTCTCTTTCTAGCTCCTTTAAAAAAAAAAAGTCCTATGTTACAGTTTGACATTTAATATAAGCTAATTCCAAACTTCAAAACCAAGACCAGGCCCACAAGACCAGGGTATTAACTAGAATGTTCATAATCATTAAAATATGTTCTTAGGAAGAGTCACAGACGCAAGATTTTTACTTATAATTCAAAAGATGCAACTTATCTCTTCTGCCTGAGTTTTTTTAACCAAAAAAGTATATATCATTTTATAATTTTTAAACTAGATAAAATGTTCTTAAACATAAAGAAAATGAATTTTTAAAGAGCTGACTTGCTTTTTTTTTTTTTTTTTAACCAGCTGTGAACATTAAGAGTCAAACCAGTACACAGATGTGATGAGGAAAGACAGACTTGAGGTTAGGAGAAATGAACTATAGTCCAAGTCCCTTGCTCATTTGCTACCTGGTCTTAAAAGGTAAGTTGGCCCGTTTAAGCTTCAGTTTCTCTAGCCATAAAATATGTAGGCCAAGCTAAATAACTTTAAATCTCTTCAACTCACAGATATCTTAATTCTTAAAAAAAAAAAAAAAAAGTACACTTGCCATATTAAAACAACTTTGACCTGACAAATAGGAGGCCAGGAAGAAAAACTGGCAAAGCCTCATACAATTTAGATGTGTTCTACTTGACAGAGTCTTGAGATAATGGTAAAGTCAAATGCCAGCAGGCATTAGAAAAGGAGTATCAAAGAAACAGAAAAGGGAATTAAGCAGGTGAGTTATTAAGAACACTCAACAGCAACATTATGAGTACTTCCCAGCTTGCCAAACCCTAAAAGCTGCCTTCAGCTTAATTCTCAACAAACATTTATTGAACACTTACTTCATTCCAGAAATTATAGTAGGAAAGCACAATAATAAATAATAGAGAAATATAAGTAACTTTCTCAGTCTAGCTGGGGAGTCCTAATCAAAGGAGACCTTAAGAGTAAATATCAAGTGTTATGAAAAAAGTATGCAGAGTATTACGGAAGCCAAGGTCTGTGGGAACTACTCAGGAAAGGCTTCCTGAAAATGAAAGGGCTGGCATTGTTAAGGAGAGAGAGGCATGACGTCAACTAACTATGAACACTTTTTTACAGCAGAGAGAGACACCTGACAGGGAGCTGAGGGTGATGAGGGTGGAGAAAAAGGCCAAGGTCAAATGCAGGTCCAAGGGAAGTTCACACAGCACATCAAGGAGCTCTGACTTTATCACCTAGATAAAGCTTCAGAGCTAAAGTTATAAAGACAGCTATAGATAGAGCTACAGAGAGGTTTTATGAAGAGGACAATTGCATGGAAGATGGTGAGGCCACAGGATAAAACTTGAGGCACAGGATGAGTTAGGAAGTTATTAGGTTACAGTTTACCAGATTCCTATCTTTCAATAGTAAACGTTACAAGTAACTTAATCACTGAAGTTCACTAAAAAACATATTCGCTTCTTGAAAATAATAAGGTATGGGAAAAACAAAACTAAACAAGGTATTCCCCAGCACTCCATCCCCAAAAAGTCCCAAGCAATTTTGAAATGGATGAAAAGAGTTGTAAATTTTAGTTTAAGCACAATTTTCCTAAATCCTCACTCAAAAAAAAGAAAGGGAAAGGACGAGTACCCCTCTTCTGAAGTTGCTTACAGAGTCAAGAAATCTTAGAAACAAACCCACCTGACCCAGGGAGACTTCTAAAACAGACTCCCATGGGCTGTCTGAACTGCCATGCAAGCACAACTCAATTGTTCCAGCAACACAGGTGCCTGGAAGCCAGTGGACTAATGACTAAGCCCAGGGCCATAGGAGAGGCTCACAGCAATACCATTTAGCCATACCTGGGCAACATGCAGTGTCATACCAGGAAGGGAAATGCTGGAATAGGTACTAAAACAGTGACAGGTGGCTTTATTTGGAGGGGTAAACCCAAAGAAATCTCCACAGCTATTGCTGAAGCAAAGAAATAATGACATTGAAAGAATTTTTTTTTTAAAGGAGAGATAGAGGAAAGTTGAGTTAGTAAATATGTTCCATTACTGGATTAAAAAAAAAAAAAAAGACTTCTCCTTGGATAACTGTGGTATAAGCTATCTGGAAGTTCAGAACCCAGTCTTATCCCACAAGACAGGGCAGATCAATAGGGGATTTATAAGCTACTACAGTGTTCACATTCCTTTAGAAATGCACTTCTCATCCTGTTTAGTATACACTGCTGGGCCTCCTCTTCTCCCTACAACAAACTTTTACTGTTTCCATCAATAACATAGAGTCCCTTTCATTGTATACCACTATTTATAAATAAATGTCTGTAAAAGTCAACCATCCTTGATAAAGACAGTGATCCACATAGGTACCTCCAAGATAGGTAACCTGGCTGTATTCTTTGCTTGGCTCTCAAAAAAGATATCCTTAGTATTATGGATAAAAAAGTGAGCAGTACCTCGTCAGCGGGTTTCCGCTGAAGTCAGCTATCTGCAGTGCTTTACAGAACGAGATGCTTTCTGGAATTTCAGAAATATCTGTAGAAGTAAAGAAAACGTCTATCATTTACCACCATTATTAACAGTTTTCATTATTCTCAAGACAGACCAAAGTCACAAGAGAATATCTGGAAATTACTACCTCCATTCAAATATGGCCTGGATTTATAAAGCATTTTTCTACATTTATTTTATAATTGATTTCCTAATAGAAGATATAGTCTCAACAGAAGCACATTAAAGAAAAATATTAATAATAACAAATCTCTAACAACATTACAGCTAGATAGGAGAAATAAATTCTAGTGTTCTATAGCACTGCAAGATTATAGTTAACAGTAACATATTACATAGTTTCAAATAGTTAAAAGAAGGATATTGAATGTTCCCAACACAAACAAATGATAAATGTCTGGGATGGTAGATATGCTAAATTACCTTGATCTGATCTCTATACATTACATGTATGGAAACATCACTATGTACCCCATAAGCATGGAAAATTATTATATGTCAATTAAAAATAAAATAACAGCCACCACTGCCACCACCAAGCCCACTACTCTCTCAATAGTCACTGATGGCATCTGTTGTAATCACCATTAGACTTTTTTCCTTATGTTTTCATATGATTGTATCAGTTCCAGGTATTCTAAAGTAGTATGTTTTAAAATTACGGATTTTCTCCTGATTACAAACATTAATAGTTGAGAAAATACAGAAAAGTATGAAGAAGAAAATAAATACCACCAGTATTCATCACCCCAAAATAATCTTTTATTCTGTTTTTAGTTGTCATGTATAAAGACATGTGCACACACACACAGAGCATGTGTATAAATAGATGCTATTTCACAATATTAGGTTCATGATGATTTTTTTCACTTTACATTATTTTACAAGTTTTTTACCTTTATTTTTCCAAGAAGTCTGCCATTCTTAAGACAGAAAAGCACGTAGCATATATTTTCATGCTTCATTTAACCAGTCCCCTATTGTTGGACATTTAGGTTGTTTCAAAGTTCCTGATGTTATAATTATATCTATGCACATTCCTGATTCTTTTCTTAGGCTAAGTTCCCAGAATTACTGTGGCAAAGGCATTAACATCTGTACAGCACTTGAAAAATATTGCAAAACTGCTTTAGAGAAGGGCAGACTATACCTATTTATACTTTCATAAGCTTGCACAGGACGCCCAATTCAGCGTCTCTCCTCTTTTTTCTTTCTTTTACATTTAAAAAATGCCAATTTTATTGGTAAGAATAGTCCAGCAATTTTTATTTTATATTTATTTTATTACTAATGAGACTAAATATTTTTCTTATATTTACTAACCACTAAATATTGTGACTTCAAAAATAACCCAAACTGTTATTTTAAATGCCTCTTTCTCTTGGTACAAGAACGAATAGCTTTTAGGTCTTTATAAAGTTAGTTCATAGCATTTAATTTCAAGAATACATTTATTTTGGACACATTAACGTTGAGAAGGGCTAAAATAGAAAAAGGTTCTCCTGGGCCCATGCTACTTCTTCCACCAGTTCAACTAATACAAGTTGCGCCAGAATATACTTAATATTTCTAAATTGAGGTGGTAGGGAGAAGGGAGAATTTTTTTTTTAATGGATAACTTGCTTTGACAACCTCAGAGTAATCAGATACTAAATGAAAGCTTTTAGTTCAAATTTAAAAGCATAAAACATTTGACACTGTAGTATCATTCTCTTCACACATTCTCTGCCTTACATGGCCACATAATGGAGTGACAAACACTATGATTCTACTTTTATTAATATAAGATATAGTCTATTCATCTATCTAGCTATCTCTCTCTATAGAGAGAGAAATGGATGGAATATATATATGGAAACTATCTATCTATTATATCTATATATACATATCTATCTCCATGTTGAAGTCATAGTACCACCATGTTTAAAAATGAACATACATAAATCATTACCGCAATAGCACCGCTATTCAGGCAAGTGAGGTAGCAATGTTCTACTGCTTGCCTTGGTCTGAAAAGTGCTAGTCATCCAGGACACTCCATGACAACTCCTCTTCTTGCCACTATTTCAGGTCCTGGAGAGCAGTGTATAAGGTTGAGAAAAGAAGTGTCTCTATCAACACATTAAAGGCCATATGTGACAAACCCACAACCTAACATCATACTGGATGGGAAAAGTTGAAAGTGTTTCTTCTAAGATCTGGACAAGATAAGAGTGTTCACTTTAACCACTTTTACTCAATATAATACTAAAAGTCCTAGTCAGAGAAATTAGGTGAGAGAAAGAAATAAAAGGCATCCAAACTGGAAAGGAAGAAGTTAAAGTATCCTTGTTTGCAGATGACATAATCTTATACACAGAAAACCCTTAAGACGCCATCAAAAAACTATTAGAACTAATAAACAAATTCAGTACAGCTGCAAAAATTAGTTCTATTTACCAAAAGTAAATTATCTGAAAAAGAAATCGATCCCACTTAAAATAGCTACAAAAAATAAAAATAAAATACATAGGAATCAATTTAACGAAGGAGGCAAATATCTCTACAATGAAAACTATAAAACAACGATGAGAGAAATTAAAGAATGCACAAATAAATGGAAAGATGTCCAGTGTTCATGGATTAGAAGAATTAACATTGCTAAAATATCCATACTACTGAAAGCGATCTACAGATTCAATGCAATCCTGCTCAAAATAACAGTGACAGTGCTCACAGAAACAACCCTACAATTCATATGGAACCACAAAAGACTCTGAATAGTCAAAGCAACCTCAGCACTGAGCAAAAAGAACAAAGGTAGAGAAAACGATCTGGCTTCAAAATATACTATAAAGCAATAGTAACCAAAAAAAACATGATACTAGCATAAAAACAGACACACAGACTACTAGAACAGAACAGAGAACCCATATTCACATATTTACAGTCAACTGATTTCAACAAAGGTGCCAAGAAGACACACTGGGGAAAGGACAGTCTCCTCAATAAATAGTGCTGAAAAAATTGTATATCCATATGCAGAAGAATGAAACTAGACAATCATCTCTTACCATTTACAAAAATCTACTCAAAATGAGTTGAAGACTTCAATGTAAGACCCAAATCTATGAAACTACTAGAAGAAAACATAGGAGAAATGCTTCATGAGATTGGCCTGGACAAGAAGTTTTATTGAGTAAGACCTCAAAAGCACAGGCAATAAAAGCAAAAATAGACAAAATGTTATCAAACTAAAAAATTTCTACACAGAAAAAAAGATAATCAATAGAATGAAAAGATAACCCATGAAATAAGAGGAAGTATTTGCAAACTATGAATCTGACAAGGGGTTAATATCCAGGCTATATAAAGAACTCAAACAACTTAGTAGAAAAAAAATTTCATTTTAAAAATGGGCAAAAGATCTGAATGACATTTCTCATAAGAAAACATACAAATGGCTAACAAGTATATGAAAAATGTTCAACATCACTAATCACCAGGGACATGCAAATCAAAACCACAATGAGACATCTTCTTACCCCAGTTAAGATGACTAGTATCAAAAAGACAAAAATTAGCAAATACCAGCAAGAATGCAAGTAAAGGGACTCCTCGTACACTGTTGATGAGATTGTAAATTGGTATGGCCATTATGAAAAACTATGAAGTTTCCTCAAAAAATTCAAAATAGAACTACCATATAAGCCAGCAATCCCACTACTAGGTACACTAGGTATTGAGCCAAAGGAAATGAAATCTGTATGTCAAAAAGATATCTGTGCTCCCATGTTTACTGTAGCACTATTCACAATAACCAAGATGAAATTAACCCAAGTGTTCATCAATGGATGAACAGATTTTTTAAATGTGGTATATTTACACAATGGAATACTATTCAGCCATTAAAAATAATGAATGAAGCCGGGCTCGGTGGCTCAGCCTGTAATCCCACGCCTTTGGGAGGCTGAGGTGAGTGGATTGCCTGAGCCCATGGGTTCGAGACCCGCATGGGCAGGCGAGACCTCATCTCTACAATAAATCAAAAAATTAGCTGGGCATGGTAGCACACGCCTGTAATTCTGGCTACTCGGAAGGCTGAGGCGGAAGGATTGCCGGAGCCCAGTGGGTCGAGGCTGTGGTGGCCGGGAGCGGCCATTGCACTCCAGTCTGGGCGACAGTGAGACTCCAACTCAAAAAAAAAAAAATGAATGAAATTCTGTCTTGTCCATGAAGAACCTGGAGAACATTATGTTAAATGAAATAAGCCAGGTCCAGAAAGACAAAAACTGCATGATGATCTCATTCATAGGTGTAATCTAAAAAAGTTGGTCTCATACAAGTAGTGAACAGAATAGTGGTTAGCAGAAGGTAGGAGTGGCAGAGGAGTAGAGGGGGATGGGGAGAAGGCTAACAGGTACAAAGTTACAGATAGATAAGAGGAATAAGTTATAATGTCCTGTTGCACAGTATACATGTGAACTATTGTTAATCATGATATACTGCATATTTCAAAATAGCTAGAAGAGAGGATTTTGAATGGTCTCACCACAAAGAAATGACAAATGTTTGTGGCAATGGATATGCTAACTACCATGATTTGATCATTGCACATTATATACATGTATTCAAACACCATGCTGTAGCCCATAAATATGTACAACTATTATGCGTCAATTAAAAATAAAACTTTAAAAAAGATACCTTCTAATAAACTGTGGCATTGAGAAAGAAAAAATAAAAGAGGTATCTTTACAAGTACCGAGGAAGAAGATCAAGCCACACATTAGAATACAAATTCTGGCCAGGCATGGTAGCTCACACCTGTAATCCCAGCACTTTGGGAAGCTGAGGCGGGAGGAAGGCTTGAGCCCAGGAGTTCAAGACCAGCCTAGGCAACATAGCAAGGCCTCATCTCTACCAAAAAAACAAAAAAAAATTACCCAAGCATGGTGGTGCATGCCTATAGACCCATCTAGAAGAGAGGATCACCGAGCCCAAGAGATCAAAGCTGTGATGAGTTGTGATTGTGCCACTGCACT